GAACCGTCAGGTTTCATTTTACGTTTAAAAATCCACTTGGATCCCAAAGGTTTACTTCCCGGTGGAAGATCAACCAATTCCCACGTGTGATTTTTTAGGATAGAATCCACCTCACTTTTGATGGCTTCTTTCCACATAGGACCTTCGGTAGACGTTACGGCTTCCGTATAAGTCCGCGGTTCATCTTCTGGTACGTTCCACAAAAATGAAACTACACAAATATTACTAATTACTATATATTGTATCACACAAACTTAGTGGGATGAGTGAAAAAGGGAAAAAAGGGACAATTATAGAGGGAGGAGGGAGGAGGGACAATCACATGCTCTATTTCTCATTTATCATTTCTACATATAAATACCAGCGTCACACAAAATAATATAGAGTATTATAACAATTACTAATTTGGGATATTGTGCGTGAAAACTAAACGAATATGAAAAAATATTACATTTTGAACACGAGCTTTTCAAACAAAAAGATGAGATGAGTCCTTTTAAATAATGATTGTATACTTGAATCAAATGTATCCGCCCCAGCTTCACGTGAGGGGTACTTAACGCAATAGCGTATGCGGAAATTTTCATAAGCATTCACAAATAGTCAATCATATGATCAGGGGCGGATCTACTAAGCCAGGGGGGCAGCTGCCCCCACAAAGTCCCACTAAGCCCTTATAATTTTATAATAAGTATTAGAAGCTCAAATATTTGCCCCCAATAAAAAAATGAATTGCCCCCTATAACAAAAGATTCCTCGAAAATAAACCTTCTTATAAGAAGCGGTCGTACCCTCTGAAAGTAGGGTTTGAAGTTCCGCCGTCTTTGTGCGGATTGCTTGATCGATGGAGAAAGATGTCAATCGCGAGGGAGGCAGGGAGATGGGGACACAGGGGATTTTGACGGGAATGGACTGGCAACGGCAAAAGCAGGGAAGGGTCGATCCCACTTCGTTCTCGGAGGGAAACCACCAGGGAGACGCAGGACAGTGGAGCGGACAGGCCACGGAGGAGGGATACAGGACAGTGGAGTGGCTCACAGGGAGGATTCAGAGGATGGGTCTGGAAAATAACAGGGAAGAATTGCTGCTGGACGATGAAGAGGAGACCGAACTCGATCCTGAGACAAAGGATAAAGGAGTGGAAACCTTCCCGGTGGTTGGTATGATCTTGACGGACAAGGTGGTCAAATTCTCAGTTTTCGGGACCTAATGGCATCCTTGTGGCGTCCGGGTAAAGGTGTGCTCATCCAAGATATCGGGGAAAAGAGGTATTTGTTTACATTCTATCACATCATTGATATGAACCGAGTGCTGAATGACGGTCTCTGGTTATTTGATCAGAATCTCTTAGTGCTAAAAGCTATAAAACTAGGGGACATGCCTCTGAAAGTTCCCCTTGATACAACTGAATTTTGGATCCAGGTTCATAATATCCCTTATGGCTTTTCAAATCTTGGTTATGCTCGTAAGATCAGGAATAATTTGGGTAAATTTGTTTCCTGGGATGATAACCAATTTGCTGAGAAACGTAAGCCTATATGAGGGTGAGAGTTTTGTTGGATGTAAAAAACCTCTAAAGGTGGGTTTAACTCTAAAAAGAGTAAGGGGGAGGGTTATTGGGTAGATTTCAGGTATGAGAAGTTACCTAGCTTCTGCTTTGCTTGTGGTATAATTGGTCACGCTGAAAAGTTCTGCCCCTTATTGTATGAAAATGGGGAAAAAGCGGGTATGAAAATGTTTGGCCCATGGTTGAGGGGGTGGGGGGGGGGGAGGTCCCGTGTAGCTAGTCTTAATTAGTGGCTGGTCAGCGAAGGAGGGGTCGGGAGAGACCAGGTCGACAGACACGGTGTTTCACAAGAAGTGCAGGTCGAGAGTTAGAATCACAATCAGGACATTATACATGATAGCGGAGTGGAGGCAGCACTTGAGGGAGGCGAGACACTCAGCAGCGGCACGGGGGAGCCGAAGCGCAGGAGGACTTGGGACAGACAGGAGCAGGACCACCCAGAGAAGGATGGCATGATTCTGGATGAAGCAAAAAACGGGGGAGTGGCGGGCTGGATCAACCAGACCCGCCCGTGAAGATAAAGTGCTCTTGCATTGGCAGATTGGAGTTATTTTTTATTTTAGTCTTATTTTTGTTTTAGTTACTTTTCCACGTGGACACATCGTGTTTCTATTTGCTTTTATTTTTATTGTTGTCAAGACTATTGAACGTAAGGCAGGTGGTGGAGAATCTCATCTACCAATCATTGGTTCAGGTATGGATGGACTCGGTTCGGGCCGGGCCTAGGCCCGGTCGGGCCTCCGGTCTTGGATTGGAGGGCCCGGAACCGGCCCGTGTAACCCCCGGGTCCGGGCCGGGCCGGGCCTCGGGGTTTTTTTTTTGCCTTTTCCTAATTAACCCCCAACCCCACCCCCTCACACCCCAAACCACCTCAAATGGCCCAAAATACCCAGCCCAATCCAAAAACTTTAAAAAAAAAATAAAAAAAAATGGCCCAGACCGGGCCCGAACCGGCCGAGCCGGTTCACGTTTTGAGGGGTCCGAGCCCGGACCGGAACCACCTCGGGTCGGGCCTACCCGGACCGGTCCATGACCGGGCCACCGGGCCGGGCCGGGGCAGAACAGCCGCGGGCCGGGCCAGTTCCGGGTCGGGCCACCCGGCCCGAGTCCACCCATGGGCTCGGGTATGCCCAATTCAGGATCAGCGATTCTAGTTGCTTCTTTTGAGGTGGCAGATTCTAAGTCTGGTTCAAGGGCAGACGGTAGAGTGGAGTTTCTTTGTCTGTGTTACTTGTTTGCGTTCTCTCTTATTAATATAAGCCACCTTCTTCCAAAAAAAACAAAAGATTCCTCCAATCCGCTCCAACTTAGTTATTTAAATCATATATCAGAAACGGCCAAATCTCCAAATCACCCCAAAGTCCAAAACGGCAAGACCTCAAGACTCCAACTCTCGAAGAGGCAAGAACCTTTTAAGTTTTAACCTTATTGGCTTGAATGTATGGCTTTAAAGTTTAAACCTTTTCACTTTGGTTTTTACGTGTTTTATCAATTAATCAATAAATCATTTAGATGGTAGACTTGGAATGTTACCGACTTACTATATTTGTTTCCTTTGATGTTTAGTTATGAAATCTTGTGTATGTATTTATTGTATTGTTTAATTTATTTGAATAGTTGCTTAAGGCCATACATTATTTATATAAATATAAATTTAAATAATGTTATTACACTTATTATAATGTTATTAATTTATTATAAGATTATTTATTTTTATCAATTAGATTTAATTTTTTAGAAGGATCAATTAAATTAAATTAAATTGATGTGTTACTTAATTAGTTATACATCTATTTGCGTAATGTTTATAACTTTATACTATTTGATAATAAAAATGTCATTTAGTAAGTTAGAAATCCTAAATGTAAATGATATGTTACTTTATCTAGTTAATTAAATGTACTAATGTATAAAAAAAGTTTAATTTAAATTCATTTCTACTCATTGAAAGAGGTGCATTTGAAACTGTTTCAAATAGAATCATAATGAATCTGTCAAAAGATAAAAACTAGTGTGATGTATTTTGTTAAAACTTTTTTAAGTGTAATACCTTTCCGTCCCACTAAAATTTTTCAATTTTTCTTTATTTGTTAATATTTGTGTGACTCTAATTCATTCTTACTTTATTATCACTTTATCAATTCATTATCAACCACAAACTCTTCTTTTTTAAAATATGCACCACTCTCCTTTGTCCCAATTTTAGAGGGACAAAGGTAGTATTACATTACTACTTAATTAATTTTTTCTGATGCATTTTTTGTTTACATCCGCCCCCAACAAGTTTATACCTTGGATCCGCTACTGCATATCATAGACAATAAATTTAAAATCACCTACATGTTAAATACTACGTATTACTTTTTATTTCATCCAAAAAGTATATTTACATTCATGTACAAATAAAACTTTGTAGATACTATAATTAAACTATTGCAGAAACAAATTTGAATTATTAATCACATTATTTGTATTTTAATAAAAATTATCTCAATAATAACACCAATGAACAGTGTTATGAGAATTAATTATATTTGTAAACGTACAAATGTGTATAAGAATATGAATTTTATATTGATGTGTGCAAAGCGATACTTATATATATATATATATATATATATATATATATAATCATTTATTTAATTAAAACTTTGGGCTATTTTACACTAATTTAAATATTTCAAATTGAGATGAGGCAAAGTAAAACTATGCATGATTAGTTTAAATAGTTTGAGTTAAAACTAAATAAAACTATGAAAAAACGAAGGGGGGAGCTCAATCCCTGGACAACTACTAGAGTACTAGACTAAGCGAGTTTGTAACAATTTGACGACAAGGTAGCGTGGTACTGTGGTAGGCTCACCATTTTTATAAATAAAAATATTATTATATATAGCATATGATTGTGTATGTACATACATGAGGGATTGGGTGGGACATGAGGTTGAGTGGGGGCAATTATTCATATTCTTATACACATTTGTGCATTTATATATAGGGATTGGGTAGGACATGAGGTTGAGTGGGGGCAAATCGGGCAATTGCCCTCCTTTGGGGCCACCCCGTATTAATTTAAATTAATGCAACAAGGGATAGTTTTGTCCGAGAAAAGTAAAATATGAACTAAATAATTGTTAATTGCTAGAGTATAATGTACGTCTCTTATGCATAAAAAGTTGTATTAATTGAAGGATATAGTAATCAAACTCATGTATATATGGTTTTAAGATTTAGAAGATAACTCAATTTATCATGATAAATTATGCTTAACTGTTAAATGCATTATAACTGTTATATGAATTCTAACTCAATTCCTCTGGATTGCTCTTTGTTCGTAATGTTAAATGAAGTTGTTAGGGCTATAATGACATACGGAGTATAGTTTTGTGAATTTCACATTTGCTCCAGATGCAGAGAACCAAACTGTAGTATGTTTAATGAGGGTTGTGAAAGATGATTGTCGATTTCTCATGTTTGGAATCAAATTGAAACCATGATTACATTAATGCAAAATTAAGTATATCATATCATTACAAACAAAACAAAGAAAAAACAAGTTCCAAAATTATCTAGTTCCCAGTTCCCACATAATCAAGGACAAGCACTACACGTATGACCAAAGACTGTTGTTGCTTACATAGGAGAATACATACATTAGAAAGAAGTGTATAATAAGTGAGAAATGGTGTTTGCAAATATATATTTATAAATTACCAACGCTTTCGCGCCTGCATCTGCAAACAACACTAGCTATTTAGCTTTCATTCGGGTAGAAGTTACAGGCCGAGGTTGCACAGCGTTTTGAGACCTCGGGATGAATTGTTGTGCTAAAATTGTACACTTTTGCCAATATTTTTCTCCCCATTTTTTTGTTTTTTTTTGTGTGTCTGTGGTAGTGGTACAATTGAGTGATAAATAGCTCAACTTCAGGATGCTAGCATGTTCTGCTCTTGCGGCAAGCAAGAGGGCCAGCATTGGAAGTAATACTGCCGACCATAGAAGCTGACTTGGCACCTAAGCTTGAAGCTCTTGCATAGCTGGCAGAAGCGCCTGCCCCGGACGCAGTGAAGTAGGCCCCATTGAGCATCAAGTCCCCCTCTGATCTCCAATTCCAATGTTCCCAATCATTTTCATATGGCTCAACCCTCTTTGTCACCTATTTGATCAAACACATGAATATATTGATAGGGATAGAACACCTCAGTGATCAAAATACATGTCAAAACTAAGATATAAATTCATTACTGATCTGATCAGTTAAGACATGTATGTACCTCTTTGGCAAATGGGTTGAATGGGGCAAGGTAGCGGTTGCCTTGACTGTTGATGGTTGGGTTAGCGCTTCCACCAATGGCATACATTTCCCAGTGTGTATAGTCATTGTTCACCACATGAAAGTACCCATGTCTACACCTGCATATATGGTATGAAGTAATTGTTAATTCAAGTGTAATTAATGTGGAGAGACTCAAACCAAATAAATGAACAGATAGACACATGCATATGTTTGATAGGTTGTTGCACCATATTTGATTTTCACCGTACATAATGTTTTCCTATTTCAAACGCGGGCCATGTAAATTAGGTGGAGATCATATAATCTCACAAATGATCTGCTCTTGGTGTGTAAAGGGATTATAGAGCTGTCAAAGTGAATTTTAGGATTGGCTGTTTTGTGGGCTTCAGATGCTGATCAGGTTTGCGGTTCGTGCTAGTTAACCCATGCGGGTCGTGGACCACTCGTTGTGCCAGAAATTTAGTATTAGGAGGGCAAACTAGAGTCAGAAGATTTAACAAACTTTTCCCATTAAACTTGAGGAATGCTTGGGTGTTTACAGGGTCGGCCCTTGGGGGGAGTGAGCAGTCCGACCGCACCGGGCCCGAAAAAATGAAGGGCCCAAAAAAAATTAGTATTAGTATTATTAGTAGTCTAGTGCTCTGCATTTTTATTGGCCCAATTAATTAGCCCAGCAAAATTAAAAGTTTTAATTTAACACAAATTATCATTATTTTTTACTATTATCATTTTTATTTATGTTTTATTTTTATTTGCGTAAGAAAGGAAGGCCCAAATTCCATTCTTGCACAGGGCCTCCGTTTTCTCAGGACCGGCCCTGGGTGTTTAGTATGTTGATCCTAAACTTTTCCCATATAATGATTGTCAACCGACTTTGAAATAAGGATTTATAAATTCATATCCGCCATTAAATGAATTGGCCCGCCCCAACCTACAAACATGTAATCCACCATGAATGAAGGTGGCTGTACCATTTTGCCAACTCTAAAAATGGTCATTTCCTTTTATGAACAGAAGTAAAGTACAGGTGAGTGCGATGTCATTGTAGTTCATTTATGGCATTATAGTAAAATAAGGATGAATCGATTAAACTTTAGAAATTGTAACCTCTAAAGTGGTTATAAAATTTGAATTGAGTTTTTTAATGCAGTAAAACAGTGACTCAAACTTAGATATGATCAAATGTACGAATACATGTCATTCTGAATCAACCAAGTTCACTTTCAATATTTTGATCAAACAATGATGAATCCTTAAAAAGTTGGAAATAGTAGCCTCTACACTAATAGTTGCCGAATGATGTGGACCTCTTTGGAATAACATAAGATCCAATTTGGTTGTGTTTACAATGATGTAGACAATGATGAAGAATTACCTAGGCATTCTCTGGATGAGACCCTCTCCAAAGTGGTTAAAGGCAATTGTGACTTGCATTTGCTTGTCTCTTATGTAAGAGTCACTGTGACCCAACAACATCACCTGAATACCTTACATGTTAGCTAACTAAATACTACTCCAACCCAAATAAGAAAGTACAAAAGAAATTGAAAAGGGAAAATCCCTAAAATACAAGTAAAAATAAAAAAGTTTGGTAATTTCAAAATAGGATTACTACGTTTTTATTCATTCAATAAATGCAATTACGGTCTATGTTTGAAAAATAATGTCATGTTTAGTTTGGTAGTGTCAAACAGTCAAAACACTGCAAAAACACTCAAATATCTCCTTCAGGCAATTTCTTATAGGAAAACTGAATTAAGTAGATAATTAACCTCATTATGGTGGGCAAAATGGTTGTTGGAAATGGTTAGCGCAGTAGAGCCCATGACAGCATCAACCAGGCCATCAGCACAGTTAGACAGCGAGTTATGATCAATCCAAACATGGCTCGACCCGAAAATGGAAATTCCATCGCCATCCGCCATCGTCCTCCACCCGAAATGAGACGGAGAGCTCCTGACCATGGCATTCCCCGTCTGCTTACAGTCATGAACGTGCAAACCATGAATGATCACATTAGTGATAAACTGTATGGTAATGCACGCTCCGTTAGCGATGTGGACGTTCGTCCCTCGGCCGTCGATGGTCTTGAAGCTGTTCATAATCAGCTCCTGTTTCAGCTGGATAACCATGTCCCGCTTGAAGATGATCCAGAGAGGTTCGTCCTGGATGACCGCATGGCGGAGGGTGCCGGGTCTAGGGTTCACCGGGTCGTCATCGTTCGGGTCCGTGACGACGTAGAATTTACCGTCACGCCCGCCGATTGCGTTGCGCCCGAACCCGATTCCACAGTCCGCGAGACGCTTGCGGTTCATGTGCCAATTCGGGTCGCATCGCCAGCAGTCATCAATTGGATTCCCGGTCCCACACGAGAAGTATCCCAGCTTTCGCCTCTCTGTAGTATTCCGGATGCCCCTGGTAACGAATAAGAATGTCAAATCTGTAATTTAATGCCTTGCAGGACTTTGAAAATAAGCAGAGAGTGTTTAAGGCGTTATCATGGGATAATAATTATAAATTTGAATATAAGTAATCTCATTATTGTTACGGAGAATTTTGTAAAAAAACTCATTTAATAACATAGAAAATTCGTACTTATTATGCATAATAACATAGAAATTTCGTACCTATCCATATTAGATGTTCAACAATTGTGTTTATGTTGGATTGAATAAGATTGAAACCCCAGACTTTTTCTTTGGAAAGTAACAAGTTATGTCATCAAAATACAAGACTAAATTTTCCTGGATTGAATAAGATAGTAATAAGACTAAATAAGTCATATACAACATTTGTCCTATAGTAATTTTCCAACATTCATTTTTCATTTGATCTAAAATAATCTTCAGTTTCCTTTTATGACACGTAATTCATAATTCATAGCATTTCTCATCTGTGTCAATATTATGTGGCACAATTTTAGTCTGTGTGTAAAATATATTTGGAAGATTGATATGGGAGGTACTTAGCTGCATCAAGTCAAGAGAAGAAACAAGAAATTTTGTACTTGTATACAAAATTCAATTATTCATAGTCCTATTTGCAGCATTATTTTGTTGTGGTCCGGTGGAGTGGCGGTACGGCCGAAAGTACTGAATTTTAAGAAATGAAAATCATTTTTAAAATATATTTCCACCAATTACGCCAAGTCAGAATCTACTAAATCTTTTTCAAACAACAGAGTGATTGACTTTAATCTTGGAGGAAAAACAGGGGAGTGAAATTGTCAAAATCAATTAATAATGTAGTAATGTAGCTCGTAATAGTAATGACTGGTGACAAATCCGTCGTCGGTGGAAACAATTTCTTATAGGTACAATTTTAACTGCCATAGCTTTTCTCGTTTCAAGTACCAAACAAGGAATAGTCTCTTGACTCCCACCAATTATTTTGTCATGATACAAGGAAAACCTGGTTTATTTTACAAATGACAGAGTAGTTTAACCGACTGCTTGTATATATATGTAGCATTCACATTTAACGCCTTTTGTCTTAAGAAGGTGCACATGGCTGACTCATGCAGATGACAGCGATACTAATGGAGCCAATGTTGTTTGGTAAAACCAAACAGATATTTTTCTACATTATAAAAAAGTTCACTAACTACCATTATACGCAAAGAAGTCAAAAAATGAAACAGATTAAGATAGAACTAGCAGCCAAACAAACCTTGATCATACAAACAAACAAATAAACGAATAAGCACTGTACTAAATGTCTTGGGTACATATGTTTGTACCTTTACCTACCAAAACATTATACTAAGTTTGTATTTTGTACTCCCTATGACATATCAAAACATTCTATTACATTCTTCCCACAATTAAATTTTCAGTTTGATGTTTTAGAACAAATTTTTGAACTTCAACTACTCAAGATTTATATTACTCCGTACTTTATAATACAAAGTTAATTTCATGTAATTCTCTGCAATCTATACTATTCAAATCTTATTTATTATAGATTTTATAGGTATAGATCTTTACATTTTCAGGGTAAATTTTTCACCTAAAAGACCGTAAAAGTCAATTTTAGAATTTAATTATGGGACATATAAAGTATTAGAGTTTGTATATTTGTATTTGTCGAGAGTGGATGGATGACTTACTCTACAACCATGGATGCAACTTCTTCAGGATCATCAACGGCATGTTTGCTCAAAGCCTCTTCAACCTCCACCGACCTGACCATAATTAAGGAACGAAAAACATGTGCACATTAATGCCACATTCAACTAGCGTGCGAACAAACATTAACGGAAGTCACCAAATGTACGTTTGAACTAACACATCCATCAAACCAACCCCGTCCCCTTACATTTATGAAACACAAAATTCCCAGTATTTACAGTGGACACCGCATTGCTGATAAGGGCATTTTGGGAAGCCAAATAAATATTAATTTGGTGGAAGTTATAGCAACCCACATGCATTAATCACTTCTCCAACATTTCGCGCAGAAAGTGGGGTCACACTGCAGAAAAAAAGTGAAAACACCTATATCCACTTTTCATCCTTCTCTCCCCGAACAAGAGAAATGGATCAATTGGTGATTAAAATTGATTTTCGGTTATTTTAAATATTTAACCTACAAAAAATTACTTGTATTTAGTAGTCATTCTGCCTTCTACTTCTAAATCTTTTTAAAAAATATCATATTTTACCATTTATAATTTCTCCACCGTCAACAACACCCCACATCTTTAAAATACAAACAAACGCACATGAAGGAGATCAAGCAATGGTGGATATGATTAGAAAATTATTTTAATTGCCTTTCGTTATTTGTTTGTTTAAAAATAAGTCCATGACAAATATTTATTGAGGACAATACGACTTTATATTAGAAAATACGTAGTCAGTTGTTCAATTTCATGTACGAGTATAGTATAGATAGTAATATTTTTAACCCACTGTTGTTGGTTTCCAGAATACTCCATCTGTGAAAAGGACGGGATCGATCATTTTATTAGAGAATTGAAGTACTGTTTCAGATCTAAATACGTTAAAAGATATGAGTAAGGGGTGTGCATACAAAAGTATGCAACAAAATGTTGTTGGTATACACATTTCGTACATTACATCATCTAGTTGTTTATATACACAGACAATTCATTCCGAAGTTATCTTATAGACAGACAATTAGCATAGCTCTACAACATAAGGATACAAAATGTGTTTTTACTTGGCATCATTGAAACCCTTTAAACTCTTAATAAACCATTTGGTTAGGTGGGTAGTGCGTAAGTAATTGTGACGTAGTAAAAAACTTTTGTGGGGTGGAAATAATTATTGCGTAGGAAAGTAGGTTCCGATAGTAAAAGAAGCTTATAGGAAGTCACTTTCTGGTCTCTAGTCAAAAGTCATTCTGAACAAAGAAGAGGTTCCGCAAGGCTAATTTCGGAAATACGGACACATGGTCTCGATTGATTGCTCGAACAACAGTTCAATGAAAAAGTTCTTTTTCTAAATCAACCGAATTACAGTTAAGATCTTGGCAATTCAACGGCTGGGATCGCCCCTGCGAATCAGATCCAATTTACAGAGTACGGAGAATTTGTTAACCAAAAGAGCAACCGATATTTCAGCACCCCTCGTGCTGAGTGACTGAGGCAACTCAGTGAGTCCTTAAACTACCGAGTTACTGTAGTAACTTAATCATTCATTATTTCATACCTTGCCGCCGCGGCTGTCTGGTTCGAGCTTTCCAATGCCGCTTTCTCCTCGTTCCTGAAATTTCAAAATCACAGGCGAAAATGTAGCTTGTTTAACGCTCATCCGCAGAAACAGGACTCCAGAGTGCTAAATTTGCACCGAAATGTGAGAAACACAGGAAATCATTTTGAAAGTTTTCCTAGAGTTTACATGATTCATACTCAAAAAGTGACACGAAATCGAACGAAATGTTCTAACAATTTCCGAAATCTGTATATGGAACGATTACAAAATGCTAATTTTGCACCGAAATGTGAGAAACACGGGAAATCATTTGGAAAATTTGCGCATAGTTCCCGGAGAGTTTCCATGAGTCATATTCAAACAGTGATACTGAATCGAACAAAATGCTCGAAGAATTTCGAAAATCTCTAATGGAATGGAAATGCAGAAATGCGAGCGATTTTTCTACGGACCTCAACTGGAAACCTCCATTGGTGTTTACTCTGGCAAAAGTACCGGCGAGGAAGAACAGAACCAGGAGACCGGACATGATTACATACGAGAAATTCTTCCGGATCACCATTGCAGCTGTACTGGAAAATTGCTTACCCTCCCCTTACTCTCTCTAGATCTCAGGGAAAAGGATAGAGAGATATTAGGAGAGAGATAATTGGAGAGAGGACGAAGACAGGGGAAGCAGAGTAGATGGTGGAATGGGCTAACGGCCTTCTTTAAATAAACTGTGGCGCGTGGCAAAGAGGACGGTACATTAACGGCGTCGGTGGATAATGAGTAATTAACAGATACGATAATGTGCTTATTAATTTATTGTTTTGACCGTGGTTAAATAAGCTGGGGGTACTTTAGGCATTCCGTGATTCTCGAATATAACGTCTGGAGTAACTGCAATTAACTGCCTTCCGTCATATGCCGGCTGCATAAACCAAACCCATCACGAATCACGAGGTTTTTCATACTTGTTTTTGTTTTTATCTTAGAAAAATAATGAACACAACAAGTACAACATCATGTAAAATAATTATGTAGTGCGGATATAAATTTTAATACAGAGTATGTTTTCAATATTTAAAAGTTCCTACTTTGTCATTTTAGGATGTATTTAAAAGTTCCCTTTATTTTTTTGGGTAAGTTTTTTCTTTTAAAAACTCAATTACTTTTCTATTTTCTACTTGTTATCCTCTATTTCCTACTTTTTCTCCTTCTCTCATATTTTTTCTATATTATTATGGCATTAGACAATTCAAAAAAAGAAAAATACTAGAGGTACCTCATTTTGGGATACCCCATTTATATCTCTATTTTGTGGTTCAAATAGGACAATTCATTTAAATGATGGCTTATTAGAGCCATACAAATTAAAGAATAATACAAAGTTACCAAGCATAGCTCTCAGAAATATTATTCGGGGATTGATTTTGCATTGGACAACTATATCATGAACATTGCATAAAAAATGAATAATACAAACTTACAAACTACTTCATTCTACAAACTATTATACTTTTATTTTCATCTAAAACTATAATCACTTTTTCTTAATAAAACATTTCACGGTTGATATACTTCCCATTTCATGAAACAAGTTTGAATTTGTTATATATTACAAATTATGCTAATAAAATTATGCTAATAAAATAAGTTACAAATAAACTATGCAGTAAAAATGAATTTAAGTAGCAGATTAATAAGTTGTAAAAAAATTGGTCAAAGTTTAGCATCTTCAACTATAAAAAGTAAAGATGACTAGTTAAGCTAGTATATAAAATAATTGAAGCTCAAAGGGGAAATTCATCCCAGCCGACAATTAACATTTATATTGTTATTCTGCAAAAACTAACACACTATTTTCTTAGAGTTTATTCCCTATCTAGGAGTAAAATATAACAAAAGTGCAAAAGTAGGAGTTAAGTAATCCGTATAGTTTCATAGGAGTAAAACAGAGATGAGTTGTCAAATCTACCCTTAATGAACACTCTACTTTATTTATTAAAAATAAAAAATACAACAATAAACTGCAAACCGGTATAATGTTCGTTTCCCTCACACCCCCCCAATAACAAGTTGCCCGCAGTACCACCCAGCAGCCGCCTCCAGTTGTCACCGACCAAGCCGTTGCCGCCAATCGCAATCGGATTTCGCCGCCGGACATCACCGCTGGACTTCGCCGCTAGACTTCGCCGCCGGACTTCGCCAAAACTGCAAACTCAATTGTTGCCGCTGCCGGCGTTGCAGTTGCCACTTGCCAGGTGCCTCTGCCGCTAGTCACCGCCACTACGTCCGGTCGTCGACGCTACCATCTGCACCACTGCCACCTAATTTGTGTCACTGCTTTCTCATTTAATTTGGTACCACACAGTTGTAGCATCACCATTCACCACCAATCTCAGATCTAGAAACTGTGTTTTAAAATATCATCTAAAAACATTTAACTATCAATTTTTTGAGATTTATATAAAAAGAGGATATGAATTTTAGTTTCATTTTAACATTTTTCATGGAATTATAAATATTGGACTCACAAGAAAATAATACTGCCATCTCTATGGAATTTGTGTCATACAAATGACAAGATGTGCATAAATAACATTTTTATACATGAAAAAACATGACATTATTAGCATTGTTTTTGTCATATATTTCCATAAAAATGGCACTAAATGTCAAAATAATATTTTCAACGTAGAAAACATGGAATGAAAAAACATGACATTATTAGCATTGTTTTTGTCATATATTGCCTTAAAAATGGCACTAAATGTCAAAACAAAATTTTCAACGTAGAAAAAATATGACATTATTAGCATTGTTTTTGTCATATATTTCCATAAAAATGGCACTAAATGTCAAAATAATATTTTTTTGTCATATATTGCCTTAAAAATGGCACTAAATGTCAAAACAATATTTTCAACGTAGAAAAACATGACATTGTTAGCATTGTACTTGCATAGGAGTGACAGTTTCATTTCAATGCCATGAAGTTTCCAGCTTGTAGAAATTTGGTCTTCAAATCATATAATTAATTTGAAGAATGTAAAAAAAAAATTATTAACCTAATTTTAAAGATAAAACGAAAAGTAAAAAGAACAAATATGAAATAATAATTGAAAGATAAAAAGGAAAAAGTAAAAAAAAGTTTGACCGATTGGATCTGTAAACAAAAAAGATAGAAAACCAAAATAAAAAAACAAAGGGGGAGAAAAATTAAAAGAGAAAAAAGGAGAAAGTAAAAGAAAGGCTTGGTCGATTGAATCTGTAAATAAAAAGAAAGAAAACCTAAAATTAATTCAAAAGTTGGTTTTACCAACATAGCAGCAGGTTCAATTAAAGGAAATACACGCTCTTACAATCACCGAGCAAAACAAAAAGTGGGAGAAGAAGGGAAGAAAAGAAGGAGAGAAGAGAAGATGAGAAGAGGAAAAGAGGAAAATCAAACCTTACCTTGCCATCCTGCCCTCGTCGTCCTGCCGGTGACTGGAGTTGAAGATAAAAATCACAATCCATTTTTGTTATCTGCTAGAGATTGAGAGATTGAAGAGAAGGTGTGGAGATGGATGAGTTTTAGAGAACAAATCTGTAGCTGGGCGTGGGGAAAGGAAAGAGGAGTGGAAAGAGAAGAGAGAGCGGTACGAAGAGTGGGTGCGATCGAGACACATAGGAGGTTAAAAGCCTGACAAAGAAAAATAATTAAAGCTGAGGGTAAAATTGGAAATAGAATCGGCCGAGTAAATTTAAAACTCCTATTCTGGGAATAAATGAATAAGGAGTCCTGTTTTGGAACATACTTATTGTTTTAGTCCTACTTAGATCAATTACTTATTTTCTTACTTTAAAGTTGCTTTAAAATGTATCTCGAGCTCCGTTGTTTCATAAACAATCAATATGAATATACTAATACGGAGTATTAATTTTTCAAGCCAAACAAAAATGACTTCTAAATGTCGGTTGCACACTTGGACACACACATCTTAAGTTTAATTGTACGTTAAGTTGTAAATACTCTTCTATGAATTCATTTTTATTTTTCACGAATATTATTGAATTTGATAAATAAAATTATGTACCACTCATGAGTTGCATGCACCGGGTTGAAATCTCTAACCTCACCTCCCATCATGTTTATGGATGTACCATACAACTCAATCCTACGGATTCAATATCCAATCCCATTTTCCATCATCATGTTTGCTGACGTGTCATACACAATCTGATTGCGTGGGTGACACCGGAGGTCCTAGGGATCGACCAGGGGGGATCGAACACCTATCCTATCCTATTCATTTCTTCAAATAAATAAAATGAATCTAGTGAGTGGAGCTTAAGATTTATTAATGGTTCTAAATGCCACAACAATTAGCAGTTGTTCATAATGGGAAACAAAAAGTGCATCAATTCGTTCAAATCACCATTTTTATCTGAATTCTGTTATACCATATAATTCAAGTGATGGTCATCTCATACCGATTTGGTGAAATATGTCTTGGTTTTAGCCTGCCATTACATGACTTTGAGAATGTAACATTCATATCTTATTCTGAGGGCTCTGAGTACCATTTATCCTCGAAAGTAAGTGTTAATTAATCCTTACCAACTTGTTCTTGTTGCTCCTGCCAACAGGCATGCTTGAATCATTTCACAAAAAAAAGGATGACACCCCATCCCTGAGGGCCCCCCAACACCGACCGGACGACACGATGGGAGGATGTAAATCGGATTATAATCACAATCTGACAGATAGAGAGTGGGACTCTGTCCCCCGGTACTTGCAGAAGCCCTATGCATTTTTCAGCATAGTAACCCCTCATCGCAGTTGCCGGGATTTGAACCCAAGACTTAACCCTTGTGGCACTCCCTCGCTACCATTTGAGCTACGCCCACCGGTTGCTTGAATCATTTCACAAAATATGTGTCCGGATATAGTCTAAAATCACGATAGTTACCTCTCGGCCTTCGGGTGGTCAAAACACAATGTCTAGGAAGGCGCTTATGTGCACTATTTCACAGAGGGGATTTTTGTTTTTCATAAAGTTTCCATTTATTTGTCACTTGACAAAGAAATTTCGCGTATTACTTTTTTAAGGTTGGACGAATCAAATAATATTTTTAATTTGTTCCAATCAATACTACAATAATATAATTCAAATACAGAGTATTACGGAGTATATGATACTCTTACTTAATTGTGAGGTACCGTAACATTCACCGTGAAATTAAGTATATAGTTTTTTGAGTAGTTCTTTTTATATCTTATAACTTTCTTGACTAATTTTAATATTAACGAACACGTTGAATTGATGTGAGAGAGCATTGTATAGTTAGACAAGGTGATGGGCAAGTTAAATCAATACCGGCCTCAGTTTGAACTTTAGACCTCAACATAGTGTTCCGATTTGTTTTCAACTTTTGGATCTCGATCAAGAGGAGTAATGTTTTGAAATAATTGCCTCAATATAACTAATTAACTTTTCATTTATAAAAATATGACTTATTTTTCTTTTTCCTAAAATATGAGTTGAACTCTTCCCGTAACCCAACTCTCCTTCCCTAATTCCCAAATTCACAATTCATAGCCCTCCATCCATCGCAAACCCCCCATCTCCACGCCTCGCAAACTTCATCCATCGCAGCTCCCCAGCACCTTCGAATTCTCCATCACTCCTCGACCGCAAGCAGCTTCCACCAACAACGAAGAT